TTGTCAAAGCATTCATATAACATTAGTAACAATCACTACTTATCATTACCTATAAAAACTGGACAATTATCATTTATCTTATTATCTATAAAAACTCAAAAACAGAAATTGTGAACTCAATGTCAACATTCCATCTGACTGACTTTTCTCAAATCTTTGTTTTCAAAGACATTTTTAGCAATTAAATCATTATTAACATTTCTATCTTTTTTTTTTTTTTTTTACAGTAATTTTCATCCACATTGTATTTGAAATAACTTTGATTTGCATAATGTCCATCCTTCTTGGCATCATGGAAAACACTCAGTATTGCTATACTTTTTCATTACTTCTTCTGTCTCCTTGTGTTGTTGCTTGATAAAGCAGCTGCAATGATGTGTCCTTGTTGTTGAATTGCATCCTGGATGGTTGCGGTGAATGCTGCAGCTTGGTTGCTCTGTTCTGCGCGTGTGGCTCTGACAAGCATCTCATTGACTGGACAGCCCTGAGGAAGGGTGGCTAGGATGGTTCTGGTGGGTGGGTTAGCATTCTCAAAAGCAAGGGATCGGAATAAATGTTCCTGAACGTCTGGTGGCACGTCAGGTGCGTCCTTCAAAGCAGCTGACAGCCTATCAATAAATTGTCCAAATGGTTCAGTGGCTCCTTGCTTTATGGTGGCATAGGATGCTGACTTTTTCTTGTCTGGTACCAAAAGCAAAGCTTGATGGGCCAATTGCTGTGACAATTGATGCATTTCAACGGGAAAGGTAAGTTGTACCTGATTGGTTGCATATGGTCCCTGCCCAGTCAGCATATCTGGCTGGACTCCATAAAAGGGGTCCCCCACATTTGTGTGTTTGTTGGCCTCTTCAATTGCCAACCGCCTCCATTCCCTTTCAAACATGAGAAATTGGGAAGGGGTCAGGAGCAGGGATGCAATGTTAGATGAATCACCAGGACAAAGCACATCTGCTGTGAATATATACTGAATGATGTTCCTGGCTGCTTCTGATCTGATCCCATAAGTGGTGACTGTCTGCTTAGCTGATTGTAGGATTTTCCAGTCATGGGGCTCCCAGATGGCATTCCCATTAGACACTATGACAGGACAAGCCAGGGAGCTGACCGCCTTCCAGTCACCGTCCAAAAGAGCATCCTTCACAACTGACGCCCATCGGGACTGCAATGGATTTTTTAAAACTGCTGGCAATGCCAATTGCTGGCCAGTGGAAGGTTCCACTGGTTGAGCCTGACGATTTGAGAGGGTGGCAAGGCGGGCTATTTTTTTTTTGTAACATATTTGGTCTTTGTATCTTGTTCTGTGATCGCGTGTCCCTGCTGCAATTGACAACAGGAAAGTCTGGCTCTGAGTCGTCAGAATCTGAACTCGGTGGGAGGGGGCAGCGTAGAGCTACCGTGGTGGAATGGGAACTGGCATTTTCAGGGCTCCACTCTGGTGTTGTTTGGGTGGCTCCTTCTGCCACTCCGCTAGCATTGGGGTGCCCAGCCCCTCCAAACCGCGCCAGGTTGCTGGCCGCCGCCGCCGCCGGGTACCGGCGAGCCGCTCCTCTGCGTCTGCACGGCTTCCGCGGCAGCCGCCACCGCTGCCGCTGCGGGGGGGCGAAGGGCCGGCACCGCCTCGCTCCCTTCTCCGCCCTGGTCTCCGCCTTGATCTCCGCCCCCGAGTTCCTCCTCCTGACTCAGCCCTGTTTCGTCACCAACTCCGCCTGCCTCCTCAGGTGTCTCCCCGCCTCCCGAGGGACCCGGGAGGGTCACTTCCTGGTCTGCCTCACTTCGCGGGACCGCCGAGCTGTTAACATCCGCTGCTTGCGAGCACACTTCCGCTCCAGGCGCGGCCACATTTTTGCATTGTCCCGCGCCGGCCGGCCCTGCGCCGCCTGGCTCTGCGCTTCCCTCCCAACGAGCGACATCTCTGACAGAGGGGCTGACTGGAGCTTTCTGCCCTCGCACTGGCCGCATATTACAAACATTAAAGAATTTTTCAACCCGAGATGACTTTTGAGCTTCTGTCTGTTCTGATGTGGATTGCTCAAACGCCTGAATTGCAGCTTCTGCTGCTTTTTTCTCCACGGCCATGCTCTGCAAGGTATGTAAAACCTTTTTCCAAACGCCTCCGAGCTCCAATAGTGTTTTCTTGTCTTTTCCGCCCTCTATCACTGCGTCCCAAAGCAGCTGCCCCAACTCTTGCCATTCGATTTCACTAAAAATCAGCGAAGGCTTTTGCAGCTTGCCTTTGTTTCTTGCCCAAAGGATCAACTGTTCTAAATCGGCTTCTTTAACTATTTCAGCTCTCTTTGAGAGAATATGAAAGAAAAGCCGCACTGAAGCCTGCAGATCCCCATCCATGGTGAACTTTCACCCTCTCTCTCTCTCCGCGGCTTACCTCCAACTTCCGCGGTTTGCTTCGCTCTCGCTTTTCTTCGGCAAGGCGGCAACCCCGCTCCAGCTTTCCGGCCCCGGCCACGTCCACACCCGCCGTTCGGGTCCCTTGTGAACGCCGAGGTCTTCCCACTGCTCCAACGGACTCTCGCAAACAAACAACAATGCGAAGAGTCTTTTTCTCCCATTGGGAAAATGGCCCAATTCGGAGTTTGGAGACTTCTGCTCCGTTTCCACTTGATCCCCGTTCACAAAAAGTGAATTTGGGATCCCGGCCCTGTCACCATGAGGCGATTTGGACCTGAATTTTTGTCGCGCGACTCAAACCCGGCTCCCCGTTACTCTAAAAGTAATTTGGGAGCCTTTTCGGAGCCTCCTAAGTCCCTGGTCGGGCGCCACTAAAAGCCAGGGAATCTCAGAAAAAAGGAAAGCTGGACAAGACAAATGCAGGTCCAAACCAATGTGGTTAATCAAGCGTTCTCCCTTTATTCAAGATAAGGTGGTAGTTTATATAAGCTTCCACATAGTTTACAAAAACAAAGACACTCTGATTGCCAAACTAATATTGTTTACCTTTTCCTTAAAACGGCCTACACCTTACACTATAAAACCTATACTAATTCACACCCAAACAACCCAGAGGTCCCCATCACACCTTAAGACTATTTCTATCTGCACCACAAACTCTGAATTTCTAACTGCGTCAGAGGCTTGAAGGCCTCACCAGGCCTAAATCTGAGGCCTAGACTGGAGTAGCTCAAATTTCATAACACATGTCCTCTTTCTCTCAAAAATGCTGCAACAGATCCCAGTCCATCTTTTATCCCAGACTATATTTGATCCCAGTCCCTATTTTATCCCAGTCCCTCTTTGATCCCAGTCCGTATTTTATCCCAGTCCCTAGTTGATCCCAGTCCATATTTGATCCCCGTCCCTATTTTATCCCAGACTATATTTGATCCCAGTCCGTATTTGATCCCAGTCCCTAGTTGATCCCAGTCCATATTGCGAGGACGCTGGACTCCAGGACGCTTTGGGTGGATGGAGACGAGAGATCTCTGAAGGCTGCCCTTAGAATATCTGGTTTATTAGAGAGGGTGAAAGGCCCTGCTTGGAGTCACCAGACCTGACCCGTGGCAGGCCTGAGGGCGTGGGGGAAGGGAGAGGCAAGGGGTAGAGGGAGATAAGAGAGGATCCCAAGAGGATGTTCCAGGAGAGGGGCAGTTCCAAGAGAAGGGAAGTTCCAAGAGAGCGTCTGGCTCCTCAGGGACTCCTTGTCAGGGGCTTCAAGGTGGGCTGGAACAAGACTCAGGCCAATGGGGTCACAGACTCCTGATGCTTCAGGGGAGGGTTTCAGGTGTGGGATGAACCGTACATTGGGGTGAGATCCAACAGTCCATTTGACCCTTGGACCTACCTGTAGGTAAGGGCATTGTTCAACCAGAAGGGGGGATTGTCTTCGTCCTGGCTGTACGATTGTGTTCTACTTGTGCAGTGACTACGGTTTGGTATGTCACAACTTGTTACCATCTCAGTCTCTGTATTTTCTAAACCTTTTGCCAGGCAGTCATATTTATAAGGCTTTCCTATTTGATCTTCCCCAACACATATGATCCCAGTCCATATGATCCCAGTCCATATCTGATCCCAGTCCCAATTTTATCCCAGTCTATATTTGATCCCAGTCCATATGATCCCAGTCCATATCTGACCCCAGTCCCAATTTTATCCCAGTCTATATATGATCCCAGGCCATATGATCCCATTCCATATCTGACCCCAGTCCCAATTTTATCCCAGTCTATATTTGATCCCAGTCCATAGGATCCCAATCCACATCTGATCCCAGTCTCTATTTGAACACAGTCCGTAGTTGATCCAGGTCTCCAGTTGATCCAAGTCCATATGATCTCAGTCCCAATTTGATCCCAGTCTGTAGGATCCCAGTCCCTATTTTATCCGAGTCCCTTGTTGATACCAGTCCATAGGATCCCAGTCCATATTTGATCCTTGTCCGTATTTGATCCCAGTTCAGTTCATTCCAGTCTGTAGGGCCCCAGTCCCTAATTTATCCCAGTCCTTAGTTGATCCTAGACCACAGGATCTCAGTGCATATTTGATCCCAATCTCTGGTTGATCCCAGTCTATATGGCCCTGCACACATTCCAGAGGTCTGGAATTTCAGCTCCCAGCCAGGAAAAGACATTCCCTTTGCCCTCGAAGGCAAAGCTCTTGAGAAGGGGCTGAAAGCCAAGTGGAGCAAAATCCTACAGAGACATTTCACTGCTGGCCTCCATAACTTCAGCTCCTGAACTAAGAAATAAAATAATAATTGGGAAATAAAATAATTTAAAAATCAGGGGTGGGTCATTGGGGGCAGAGGGGGCAATTAAATTAGAGGAGGATTCAATTAAATCAGGGAAGGATCTTTGGTGGTCCCTGAGGAAATTAAATTGGGGGAGGGTCTTTGGAGGTCCCCTGGGTCAAGGGAGACACGGAGAGAGAAACAGAGCAGGCAAAGAGAGGTGGGAGGGAAAGGAGGACACAAACACAATCAGCTGAGAAGGTGGTGCCCTGAAAAACAGAACTGCCACGGACTGGGAATGAACAGCAAAGAAATCACTAAGTCTGAAAGTTTTATTTGCTATCAAATACATCCCAGCCACCCAGCCCCACACAATCCCCATCTCACCGCTCCAAATTGGGATCCCACTTCTCCCGATCTCCTCCCAAACCCATCTCACCCTGGCAGCTGTGGAATCGAGTGAGTTTGGTGTGGGATTAAGTTTTTTTTTTGTGGTGGACAGAAGGAATTTGAGGTGGGATTAAGGCTCTGTGGGTTAAAATTCAGTTGTTTTCAGTGGGATGTGAGTGGTTTTGAGGTGAAAGATCGATCCCTCTTGGCTCTTGGAGCACAGAGAGATTGAGAAGAGAAAAAAATAAAGGTCAACACTAAAGGAGAAGCAGCCAGGTGTGTTCCCAACATGGATGACAGGGAATGTGGGTCACCAGGGCTGTGCCCAATGTGGGTCCTCCAGTGGGGGATGGAGTTTAGCTCTTCTCGCACTCGGGGCACTCGCAGGGCTTCCCTTACCGGTGCCTCTGTTGGTGTCGGGTCAAGTGAGAGTTCCTTGAGAATCTCTTCCCACACCGGGGACACTCGTAGGGCCTCTCCCCGGTGTGGATGCGCTGGTGCCTGAGGAGGTGGGAGTTCTGCCTGAATCCCTTCCCGCAGTCGGGGCAGCAGAAGGGCCTCTCCTCTGTGTGAACCGGATAGTGCTGGAGGAGATGGGAGCTGGTCTGAAACCTCTTCCCACACTTGGAACACTCGTAGGGCCTTTCCCCAGTGTGGATCCTCTGGTGCACGATCAGGTCAGAGCTCCACCTGAAGCTCTTCCCACACTCCGAGCACTTGTGGGGCTTCTCCCCATCATGGAGCTGCTCAGAGACCCCCAGCTCTGAGCTCTGGCTCCATCTCCAGCCGCCTCCCCGGCCCAGGGTGGGTCTTTCCCCCTCAGATCCCCGCGATCTGCGTTTGCAGCCCCTCCTCGTGCGGGATCTCCGGGGCTTTTCCTCCCCGTCGGGTTCCTGCGCTGTGGAGCCGCTCAAAACGGCCTCTTCCACCAGGTTCTGCCGCGGGGATTTGTCCTCCCTGCTCTCCATCCTCAGCTCCTGCTCTGGGGGAGGAAGGACAAGGAGAGGCTCTTCCTCTTCCTCGCAGCCTCCCAGGGGCTGGGAATGGGAAATCCTGGTTTGGGGAAAACAAGGGATGAGCACGTTGAGTTTGAAGCTCCCTCTGTCCCAGTCCATCCCTAGAAGTCCCTGGCCACCTGGGCTCCATAAAAACCTCCCAAACACCGAGATCCAGCCCTGAAAAAGCCTCCCAGGAGTTCCCCGTCCCTGCTGCCTCCCCTTTGCTGTTCGGGGCTCCCCCCTGTCCCAGCTGCTGGGGTCACGCTTGGATTGGGGGTCCCCCTTCTCCTCGCTGCCCGCCCTCCCCAGGCTGCCGGGAGTCCCAGCAATCCCAAAAGCTCCCCCCTCTTGGCTCTCCCCATTCAGGGGTGCCGGGGCTGTTTGGGCTCCCGGGCTCCCTTCTCCCCCTCTTCCCTGCTCTGGGCTGCAGGGGCTCCAAGGAGTCCCCCCAAGGGGACTTTTCCGCTCAGCTTCGCAGTTCTTCCTTCTCCAAACATCTCCCCAAAAAACCCAACCCAGGCACCCCCCAGGAGACCTGGCCCGAGCTCCCCCTCCCCGCTCACCTGCGGGATGGGGGGCAATGATCCCACAGGTGGGGGCTGCGAATTCAGGCAGGGCTGACCGCGCGCTTCTCTCTGCTCTGCTCCATCCGCCTTTCAACCTCCTCTTCCTCTTCCTGACGCCCCTCCTCTTCCATCCCCCCTCCTCCTCCTCCTCCTCCCTAAGCCCACCTCCCGCTCCTCCTCCATCCCTGCCCTTCTCTCCCTGCCCTTCCTTCCCCCTCCTCCTGCTCTCTAACCCCACCGCCTTCTGCTCCCTCATCCCTCCTCTTCCATCCCCCCTCCTCCTCCTCCTCCTGCCCCTCGCTATCCCCACCTCCTTCTCCTCCTCCTGCCTGTCCTCCTCTATCCCTCCCCTTCCATCCCCCCTCCTCCTCCTCCTCCCCATCCCCACCTCCCGCTCCTCCTTCATCCCTGCCCTTCCCTCCCTCCTCCTCCTCCCCCAGCAGCAGTGACACCCTCGGTTCCCGTTCCCGCAGCCCCGGCAGCCCGCGGCAGGAGCGGGGATGGAGCCGGGACAGGTCGGGATGGGCAGCGCGGGGCTCTCGGCTGCTCCCAGCCGCTGTTCCAGGGGGGAACCCGGCCCGGGCCAAAGGAGAGGCAAACTGGGGAAACTGGGGGCTGCACATCCAAACTGGGGCTGCCTGGGGACCCTGCCTGGGCACTGCCGGCCCTTGGGGCTCCTCTCAGGAGATCAGGAGGGGGGAACGCAGAGAGGGCTCGGGGATGCCAGGAGTGGCAGCACTGGGAAGGACTGGTTTGTACTGGGATTGTACTGGAATCATACTGGGAGCAGCTGGGCCCATGCCAGGGCAGACTGCAGTCACCCCGAGGGAGACTGGGATCGTACTGGGATCATACTGACACAGAGTAGGAGCCTACGGGGGCCAACTGAGACCATGCTGGGGGCAAATGGGATATACTGGGAGTGACTGGGAGCATGATGAGGGTGACTGGGAGCAGCTGTGAGCAACTGGGATCATGCTAGGAGCAACTGGGAGGAACTGGGAGTCACTGGGTGCCTGCTGGGGATGACTGGAAACGACTGGGCTTATACTGGGATCATGCTGGAGGTGACTGGGATCATACTGGCAGTGAGTGCCACGACACTGAGGCTGACTGGGAGCAGTTGTGAGCAAATGGGATCGCGCTGGAAGGAACTGGGAGTGAGTGGGAATATGCTGGAAGGAACTGGGGGACACTGTGAGAGACTGGGAGGGACAGTGAGGGTGAAAGGGGCAACTGGAACCATGTGGAGCACAACTGGTTCATATTGGCACTGACTGGGAGCACACTGGCATCATCTCTGGATCATACTGGGAGGGACTGGACTAATACTGGGAGTGTCTGAGAGTGACTGGGAACACACCATGCACAGCATCCCTGTACTGGGGGTGACTGGGAGCAACTTGGAGCACTCTGGGAGCAAATGGCATCATACTGGGATTGACTGGGTTGATGTAGCTGGAGGCAACTGGGACCATACTGCGAGTGATTGGAAGTTACTGGGATTATACTGGGACCATACTGGGAGTGCTGGCATGTGACAAGGATCATACTGGAGGTTACTGGGCTCATACTGGTGATGAAAGGGAGCAACTGGGATCCCACTTTGGGCTACTGGGAGCAACTGAGAAAAACTGGGATCATGCTGCAAGCAAACTGGAGGAATTGGGAATGACTGGATGCAGGCTGGAGACAACTGGGACATACTGGGCATGACTGAGATCATACTGGGATAACAAGCACCTTACTGGGATCACTGGGAGTGTCTGGGAATGACCACAGAGATGCTGAAGGCAACTGGGATTTACTGGGGATGTCTGTAACCTTACTGGGGTGACTGGGAACACACTGGGAACAACGGGGACCATGCTGGGGAGAACTGAGAGCGAGTGGAAGTGAGTGGGTCTACACCGGGGACAACTGGGCATGACTGGGACCATGCTGGGAGCAACTGGGATCATATGGGGAGTGATGGGGTTGATACAAGGGACAACTGGGGGCAACTGGGATCACACTGGGGAGAACAGGAAGCAACTGAAAGCATGCTGGGGGCAACTGGGATCCTACTGGATCTTACTTGGAGCAACTGGGATCAGGCTGGAAGCAATTGAGGACAACTGGAGTGACTGGGAACATGGTGGGAGCAACTGGGATACACTGGGAGAGACTGAAACCACAGTGGGGGTAAATGGGAACAACTGGAACCACAGTGGATGATAATGGGAGCAGCTGTGCCCATGCTGGATTCATACTGGGATCCTACTGGAACTGGCTGGCATCATACTGGGAATGACTGGAAGTGTGCTGGCTGTGACTGGAACCATGCTGGAGGTGACTGGGAGCAACTGGGCCCACCCTGGGAGTGACAGGGAGTCATTCTGGGCAGGGCTGGAATCATACTGGGAGTGACTGGAACCATACTGGGGGGGACTGGGTGCAGCTGGGATCATCCTGGGAGCCACTGGGATTCCAGCAGGTGTGAATGGATCCTGGCTGGGGGTCACTGGGAGCTACTGGGCCCATGTTGGGAGGAAAATCTGGACACATTGGAAGCAACTGGGACCAACTGGAAGGTACTGGAACCGTGCTGAGGGGACTGAGACCACAAATGGGGAAACTGGGTTCATACTGGGAGCGACTGGGACCACACTTTGGGCAACTGCCAGAAACTGGGATCATGCTGGAGGCAACTGGGAGTAACTGGGAAAGACTGCGATCATTCTGAGGTCACCAGAACCTTACTGGGCCAACTGGAATATACTGGGAGTGTCTGTGACCATACTGGGGGGACTGGAACCACACTGGGAACAGCTGGGACCATGCTGGGGACAGCTGAGAGTGAGTGGGACCATGCTGAGTGGGACTGGGACTATTCTAGGGACACCTGGGATCATACTGGGAGGAACTGGGAACAACTGCAACTATTCTGGCAGCAACTGGGATCATACTGGGATCACAGTGGGAGCAGCCGGGTCCATGCTGGGTGAGACTGGGAGGAGCCAGGTCCATGGAGGGTGACAGGAATCATACTGGGATTGACTGGGAGTGGCTGTGAACAACTGGAATCATGCTGAAAGTAACTGGGAGGAAGTGGGAGGGACTGGGAGCATGCTGGGAGTGACTGGGATATACTGGGAGAGACTGGGAGTCATAGGGATCATACTGGTGGTTACTGGGGTCATGTTGGCATTGACAGGGAGCAACTGGGATCACACTGGGGGGCACTGGCATCATACTGGGAGTGACTGGGATCATACTGGGATTACAGTGGGTGCCAAGGGACCCTGACTGGGGGTTACTGGGAGCTGCCAGGCCCATGCTGGGAGCCAAATGCACACACACTGAGAGCAACTGGGAGCAACTGGGAATGACAGGAGTCATGCAGGTGACAACTGGGATGTACTGGCAGTGACTGGGATAAAACTGGGGGCAGCTGAACCATGCTGAGGTAACTGGGAGTGCCTGGCAAAGACTCTGGGAATGTTCCAGGCAACTGGGATGTACTGGGAGTACCTAAGAACATGCAGGTGGTGACTGGGACCACACTGGGAGCCACTGGGAATGTGCTGGGGGCAACTGGGACCATGCTGGGGGCAAGTGTGAGTGACTGGGGCCCTGCTGGGGCAGACTGGGATCATACTGGACTCATATTGGGATCATACTGGGAGTGACTGGGACTATACTAGGAGCAACTGGGAGAAGTGGGAACACACCGGAGAAAAGTGGGAGCAACTGGGACTTGCTGGGGGCAAATAGCGTCATAATGGGGAATGACTGAGAATGACTGGGCTCATACTGGGAGAAACAGGGATCCTGCAGGGAGTGAGGGGAAGTGACCAGGGTGATACTGGGACTGACTGGGCTCATCCTGGGAGTGCCCAGGAAACTGGAAGCACACAGGGGTAGGAACTGGGCACCTGCTGGGAGCAGCCCCTGGCGGCCCCGGTACCCCCGAACCCCTTTCCCGGCCATGCCGCCCCTCCAGCCCCAGCACCCCCATTGCCGGGTGCCGGCACTGCCAGGGGTCCCCCCTCTCGGGGTCCCCGCTGGGGCTCCTGGGGCTCTCCTCTCTCTGCGCTCCCGCCCAGGGAAGCCGCGGCTCTCCCGGGGCTCCCCAAATCCGGGGTCCCCCCGCCGCTCCCGCCGCTCCCGCGCGGTCCCCACGCGGCCCCGGCAGAGCTCGGAGGGCCCGGCCGGGAAGCCCAACCCGCACCGCGGGGGGACCCGCATCCCCCCGGCCCCGCCGGGGCTCTGCCGCCACCCGCACCGGGACCCCCCAAAAACACCTCCCGGGGACCCCCGATGTCCCCCCGAGGGCAGCTGCGGCTCGGCCTTGGAGCCCCGCCAGCTCCAAACATCCCCCCAAAAACCCCAAACCCAGGGAGCCCCGGGATATTTGGGGCCAGCTCCCCCTGCCCGGGCACCTGCGGGATGGGGGCGACGCTCCCGGGGTGCTGCGAGTTCAGGCGGAGCCGGAGCCCCGCGGTTCATCCTCCCCGCTCCTCCTGCTGCTCCCGCTGCCGCTCCGCCTCTTCCTCCCTCCTCCTCCTCCTCCCCGCAGCCGCGGGAGGGGCGGGGATGGAGCCGGGACAGGTCGGAACGCAGAGAGGGGTGGGGGGATGCCAGGAGTGACTGGGCTGTACTGGGATCATACTGGGATCATACTGGGAGTGAGGAGGAGCAGCGCGGTGGCTCCAGCGCTGGGGCTGGGGGCGCTCCTGGCGGGCGAGGGGGGAGTGGGACCCCGGCACCGGGACCCTGAATCGCCATTGCCGGCACCGGGACCCCCCCTGCTCCCCTTATCCTGCACAGGGACCCCCCTGAATCCCCCATTTCCGGACATCAGGGCCCTCTGCTCCCCTTTTCCCTGCTCCCAGCCTCTAGATTTCCCGTGTGCCTGATCCTGGAACGCCTTGGAACACCTTGGACCCCCATTGCTGCCTTTCCCAGCCCCCAGCCCCACCTTTGTGCAAAGCCAGAGACCCTCTGAACTCCCCCTTCCCAAACACCCCGGGTGTCCCCACCCTGGTACCCCTTTTTGGGAAACCCTGGACTCCCCTTTCCTGGGCTCAAGGACCCCTGGAACTCCCTTCTACCTCTCCATCCCTGCCCCCCCATTTCCGTGACCCTGAGACCCCCCTGCACCCCCATTCCTGAGAACCAAGACACCCTTTTACCCCTTTGCCCGGCACTGAGACCCCCCTGCACCCCCTTATCCGGCACCAACACAACCTGTTCCCATCCCACACCTCTCCCAGCCCCCAGCCCCACCCTTTTCCCTGACCTGGGACCCCTGGGCCCCCATTCCTGCCTTTCCCAGCTCCCAGCTCCTCCTTTCCTCACACTCAGGAGCCCTGGCACCCCCTTTCCTGGGCACAGGATTCCCTGGACACCCCATCCCAGCTCTCCCAGTCCCTGCACCCCCTTTCCTTGGCTCTCAGCCCCTGAACCTCCTTCCCAGCTCTGCCAGCTCTTCATGTCCCCCTTTTCCTTGGCCTGTGGACCCCCTGGAACCCCAAACTCTCACTCTCAGCCCCCTCAGCTCCCCCAAATCTCTGTGTCCCCCCAGTTCTCCACTCCCTGCAGTTCCTGGAAGTGGTGCTGTCAGAGCCTGGCCCGGGGGTCCCCCAGTCCTTGATTGTGGGGGACGTGGACGGGACCCTCTGCGAGCGCTGCGGCAGCGAGCGGGGCCGGATGGAGGCACAGACACCGGGGATGGGGGCGGGAGCTGAGCTGGGATATTGGGACAGCCAGAGCTGGGATATTGGGACAGCCAGAGCTGGGATATTGGGATAGCCAGAGCTGGGATATTGGGATAGCCAGAGCTGGGATATTGGGATAGCCAGAACTGGGATATTGGGATAGCCAGAGCAGGGACATTGGAATGGCCAGAACTGGGATATTGGGATAGCCAGAGCTGGGATATTGGGACAGCCAGAGCTGGGATATTGGGATAGCCAGAGCTGGGATATTGGGACAGCCAGAGCTGGGACATTGGGATAACCAGAGCTGGGATTTTGGGACAGCCAGACCCAGCTCAAGGACAGGAACCGGCCCGTGGCTGACAGTGACCTGGAGACGGGGCCGGTACAACCAGAGCAGGGGCAGTGGGGGGAGCCAGGGGCTGGGCTGGGATCTGTGGGAATGGAGGACTCTGAGGGGCTGGGATGGGATCTCTGGGGATGGGGGGGATCTGTGGGGCTGGGATGGGAATCCAGGGAGCTCCAAGGGGCTCCCAGGGGCTGGGACACGACTCCATGGGTCTGTTCTCTCCTCGTTCCCAGGTCTCCACACAGTGCAGGGGGTTTCCAGCTGTGACCTCCTGTCCAACAGAGCATCCATGGATCCCACCAGTACGGCTATGAGGGCTGGGATTTCATCTCCTTCCAGCTGGGATCCAGGAGCTTTGCAGTGTCCAACAGTGCCGTCTGGATATCCCAGAGGTGCTGGGAATCCAGAGGGATCATGGTGGAGCAGATGAAGCATTACCTGGGACACACCTGTGTGGAAAGGCCCCCAAAATACATCAGATATGGTCGGGAGGCTCTGGAGCACAAAGGTGGGTGTGGGAAGGGAAGGGCAATTCCTATGGGAATGGGGGATTCAGGAATGGGGGACTTGGGAATGCAGGAATTGCCATGGAATTTCCATGGCCAGATCTCACTCTCATCCCAGTCAGGTGAGAATTCCATGGATGGACCCCCCCTAACCCACTGCCATGGGAATTCCATGGGGAAATGATTGGAATTGATGACCAATCCAATGAGAGCAGTGCAATGAGAAGTAATCCCTGCTGGGATTCCATGGGACATTGATCCCAATCCTTTGCCCAGGCCGGCTCTGCTGTGCCCGTGGCAGCACCAGGGGAGTGCCCTGTCCCTGCCCTGAGCCCAGCAGGAGCCTTTCCTTGGGTGTTCCGTGCCCTGCCCGGGGCAGGAGGGCACTGCCGGAGCGGCTTTGGTGGCCCCGGGCACCCGGCTGGGCTGCAGCCACTGCAGGGGCTCCTGGGGAATGTTCCAGAGCAGAGCTGAAAGCAAACAGCAGTTTCTGGAGGGGATTCTGCCCCTGGGCCTGTGCTGGGAGCCCAAGGGCAACAGCCCAAAGTGCTGGGGCTCAGTGTCCCTCGGCCAGGCCGTGTTCCCTGGCTGTGCCCTGTCCCTCAGCTGTGCCCTGTCCCTCAGCTGTGCCCTGTCCCCTGTCCCTCAGCTGTCCCCTGTCCCTCAGCTCTGTGGGGCCAGGGGTGGCAGCAGGACCTGGGGCAGCCCTGGGGGAGAACAACCCTGAGCCCCAGCTGGGCCAGTTCCCCCAGTTCCCCCCAGGCCACTCCCAGCATGGGCCCTGTGGCTCCCAGTCACCCCCAGTATGGTCCCAGTCACTTCCAGTTACACTCAGTGTGATCCCAGTATCATCCTGGTCACTCCCAGTGTGATCCCAGCATGATCCCAGCATGTTCCCAGGTGTTCCCATTCACCCCTATAATAGTTCCAGGCACTCCCAGTATGGTTCCAGTCCTTCCCAGTATGATCCCAGTATGAACCCAGTCACTCTCATTATGGTACCATTTGCTCCCAGTAAGGTCCCAGTCACTCCAAGTCACCCAGTATGATTCCAGTCACTCCCAGTATGATTCCAGTCACTCCCAGATAGTCCCAGTATTATTGCAGTAACTTCCTTTATGGTTCCTCTGTGATCCCAGTCACTCCTGGTTAATGCAGCCTGGGGTCCCAGGGGTCCATCTGACCCCCGGGCTGCCGCTGCCGTGGGTGTCCGGATAGCGCTGCGCTGTCAGGCTCAGCCTGTCTGGGTCCCTCGGCTCAGCTCCCAGCCACAGGCAACTTAGCGAGCACCTCTGGAGTGATTTCAGCTCTGTGAGTTCAGCTCTCGGTGATTTCGCTCTGTGCTCACAAGTGCCTCTGGCAGACACACAGGGATAGAGAGAGGAAAAGGCTGTATGCGGTTCCACAGCGATGTCCTTTATTGCCAGCTCCTCTGAAGGGATGCAGTGACAGTTCTTCTGCCAAACTGGGCAGAAATGGGTGTTTATATGGGGTACTGGGGTGTGTTGGAAATTGTCCAGTTGCCAGGTTTGAGGAGAATACGACCAATAGCCTTACAGAGAGATAAGAAGGGTCTGAATGCAGAAGAGGGGCTTCTTTGGTCCAGTCACCGTGACTTAGGCATTTCTTATCTTAGGTGAGTGACCGCCAGGGAGGCCTTGCAGGGCCTCTGACTGCTGCAACTCCACTTTCTGTATTTAGGAAAAAGGCGTGCCCTATAGTTCTTTTAAAACAGTGGACAAGGCATGAGAACATAGCTAACACAATGACAATTACAATGAAAATCCACAAAATTCCCTTAACCAAAGATGCAACCCATCCCATTAATCCCCTCTGACCGAAAAGGTCATTGACCCAGTCTGGGTTGTTTTCTACTTTTAAGTCCTTCACAAGTTCCTTCAGTTTCTGGATGTTTGCGTGGATGGATTCTGAGCGTGAAGGGAGATTGATGCAACGCATCCCTTCAAAGTCTTGGCAGCCATGTCCGTGGGCTAGCAGTAGGAAGTCTCGTGGTTTCTTCTTCCTTTAAAAGATCACTTAGGGTGGCAGAGGTAGCATTGGCTTGCTTACTGAGCCAGCACCCTAAGTGATTTATTTCACCAAGGGCTGCAGCTACCCAGGGTAGGAAGAGGGAGACTGCAATCTTTTTTGGTTTGTTCCATCATATAATTTTGGATTGGAATTTTCATCAAATTCTGTGTAGGATCTTTTGTAGTGTTTTAATTTGCTTTCTTTTTTCCAATTACATAACAAGGTGATATTTGGAGTAAGGGTAGAAAGTTTTCCAAGGCTACAGGGACCTCCCTGGAGCCGCGAGGGGTTCCCAGCCCATAGTCGGTTACCACAGATGAGAAACGTTCCCTTGGGTAATACTTTGGGGTGGAGAGAGGATGCAGAGATCACCTGAGCAGTGTAATTGCACCAGTTGTAGTTCCCAGTGTGCCGGCCATTCCGAGTGAGCAATGATGGTCACATCCGCACCAGTGTCCAGCATCCCTGGGAGGTGGATCTTCTCTCCTCTGTAGGATAGACCACACTCGATGTTAGGCTTACTTGGTCCCACAATTTGTGCCCACATTCTGTAGGGTTGAGAGGAAGCTGTTCCCTGTGATTCTTTGGGAGTAGAAAGGCTTGTGCGATCAGAATTCCTCATGAAAGGAAAAATTGTGAGTCCGTGCAGCACAGCTGGACTGAGATTTCTTGTCCTGGGTGCACTGTTTGTACTTTTGGAACAACAAAGATTTCCTCTGGGCCATGGAGAGTGTCACCTATAATTAAAATGTCAAAAAAAGCCCCTTTTGGCCCATGCTTTCCTGTGGGAACACGATAAACATCCTTATTATTAAAGTCAATAGACAGAGCAGTTACCAACTGGCGCCGTGTTCCCATCTGTGTCACTCCATGGGTTGGATCCTCTCCATGTGGCCTGGAATCTCCTGGGATGATGCATGGTTGGGTCTGGATGGCTTTTGATTTGTTGTCTTTGCACAGGACCTGGCCGCGCTCCACTGGAAGTTTCCCAAACACTGCTGGTAGCGCTGCTGGTTCTGGGGTCTTTGGTAGGTGTTTTGGGGGTTTTGGGTAGGTGACCTGTCCGGACAGTCCTTTATAAAATGTGCAAATTCCCCACAGTGATAGCAGCAGGCCTGGTCTTTGGAAGTTACTGCTGCAACTGCACCAGAAACTCCTTCTGCAATGCCCTTAGCAACTGCTTGGGCCACTGTGTTTTCAGAGGACAAATGACGTGTACAGCTTTCCACCATTTGCTCTCTGGTGGGTTCTGTATCCAAGGGTAGGGCCTCAGAATTGTTTTACATTGTTCATTTGCATGTGATAAGGCAAGCTGGCACAACAGTTCTTTTCTTGCCTCTTGTGCTCTCTATCTGTTTTTCCAGAGCATCTTTAATTCTGTCTACAAACTTGATAAAGCTTTCATCTACTCCTTGTTTAATACTAGAGAAGTGTTGGGTAGGGGTAGAGTCATCTGGGGTAAGGAGCAAGGAGGTTTTTGCTGCAATAGCCAAGTCTTGTAGTGCTGCCTGAGGTAAGGTGTCAGCTTGGTCACAGGGTTTCTGTAAATCCCCTTCTCCAGCCAGCTGTTGGACTGTAAAATCTGGCCTATTTGCATCTTGAGCATAGATGTCTGATAAAGTTTTAAATTGTCTTTTCCAATGCCTTTCCCATAGCATATATTCTGCTGGGGAAAGAAGGCAGTGGGCAATGTTTTTAAGATTGTGAGGTACCAAAATATGTGCTGAAAAGAGAGCTTCCAGGAAATTTCTAAAAATATGTGAACTTCTACCATATTCTTTGGCTATATTTCATAGTTGCACCAGTTCTTTATTTGTGTTAGGTTCCCACGTTGTTTTAGTGGTGGCCCCACTTCTTTTCCCCTTTATATAAATTGCTGGAAAGGCAGAAATTCTCTGAGCCAGTTCCCAATCCCCTGCCCGAGTCGCTTCCATTTTGATTAGAGCCCATGGATCAATGTCCTCTGTGTCACTATCAGACTCACTGTGCTCAGATGAGGAGTGAGAGCGAGCAGGAGGTGCACTACGCTTTGTTGGGCGTGTTGGAGCGAGGGTTGGCAGGGGTGTGGGGGGCTGGACAGAGTGTGAGGGGGCAGCTGGCTGGGCTTGGCTAGAGGGAGGCAGCAGTGGAGCGGCAATGGCAGCGCCACTGTGGCACAGCCTGCGCAGGGCTGAGGTGCGTGGGGAAGTGGGGTGCCCCCGTGGGGGTCTCGGAGGTGCCGCTCGGGGGGCGCTGAGGGTGGGTGGGTGGGTGCAGCGCTTGGGGATGAGGGCAAGGGAGGAGCGGGGCAGAGGAGGCGGTGGGGCTGGGGGAGCTGCTGCCATCACGGCGGGGCTGCGGCGGGCAGGCAGGCAGGGATGGGAGCGGGCTGGGGAGAGCCGCAGCGGGGCTGGGAGGCACGGCTGCAGGGCTGGGGGAGTCACGGGGGCTGCGCGGAGGTTTTGGGGTGAGGCAGGGCGTTCCCGATGGAAACCGACACAGGTACAGCCCAACACTGAGCGGGGCACGGGGCGCGCAGCGCGCCGCGTGTTGCGGGACCGCGGAGCGGAATCCGCGCTCGCCGCGTCCGAGGGGGAGCGAGGGATGGGTGGGCTCCACGGACCCCGCGGGTGGGTGGGGTGGTACAATGTCTGTGTTCCCCGTCCCAGGGACTGAGAGAGGAATGTTATCTGGCAAATTAGCATTTGAAGGGACAGTGTCTGTTGAGAAAGATAAGGGTGGAATTTCCTCAGCAGAAGGAAGCTGCAGAGAATTTGTCTTTTCGACTGCTTTAGTAATTGAGTGAAATAGAGGTAGAAACTTAGTTACAGAAAAGTTTTCATTAGTTTGGAAAGCGTATATTCTTGTCCCTACTGTGTCCCAAAATGACTCTAAACCAATAGTGTGTGTGTTAGTATCTGGAAACTGGGAGATAATCTATTCTATAATTTAAGTCAGTTTTTGAAAGATTGCCTTTAGAGAAAGAAAAGCTGTTAGCAGATAGGATTTCTAGGATTTGTAAATATAAGTCTCTTTCGTTCTGGTATCGTTTTAATTTACTAAATTTTGATCCCATTTCAGTTTCGTTCTCTTCCATACCCCCAGCAGTAAAAAGGAAAAAAAAAAAAAAACACCAAAAAAGGACCCAAGAAAAAAGTGCATAAAAAGGCTGTTTTAAACTTACACTTCTTCAGCCAAATGTGGGTCAAGGAACTGCTGGGTGGGTGGTCTGCCGTCCAACTCCTGAGGATACTGATATGCAAATTCGTTTGACGCCTCTTCAGAAAACTTCTATAAAGGAGGAGTTACCTTCAAGGGGCCATAGCCGTCCAAGGCAGTAACAATTCACAAAGAATGCTGCTCTCAGGGGTGCCAGGATGCCAGTGCTCCATTCGGGTGGCCACGTAATGCAACCTGGGGTCCCAGGGGTCCATCCAACCCCGGCTGCCGCTGGTGTCCCGGATAGCGCTGCGCTATTAGTCTCAGCCTGTCTGGGTCCCTCGGCTCAGCTCCCAGCCACAGGCAACTTAGCGAGCACCTCTGGAGTGATTTCAGCTCTGTGAGTTCAGCTCTTGGTGATTTCGCTCTGTGCTCACAAGTGCCTCTGGCAGACACACAGGGATAGAGAGAGAGGAGAAGGCTGTATGTGGTTCCACAGCGATGTCCTTTATTGCCAGCTCATCTGAAGGGATGCAGTGACAGTTCTTCTGCCAAACTGGGCAGAAATGGGTACAGGAGTGTTGGAAATTGTCCAATTCCCAGGTTTGAGGAGAATACACCAATAGCCTTACAGAGAGATAAGAAGGGTCTGAATGCAGAAGAGGGGCTTCTTTGGTCCAGTCACCGTGACTTAGGCATTTCTTATCTTAGGTGAGTGACCGCCAGGGAGGCCTTGCAGGGCCTCTGACTGCTACAGTGACACTGCAGAACCTCATGGAACCGTGGGTCAGTTGTGACAATGTGGGTCCAAGGACACCATGGTGGCACTACGGAACCTCATGGAACCAAGGGGCCATTGTGACACTGTGCTGCCTCATGGAATCAAGGAGACCATTGTGAACTCGGTGACCCCAAGGAACCAAGGGTCCATGGTGACCTTGTGCAGCCGCAGTGTCACAGAGGAGCCGCTGTGACACAGCGAGGGCACACGGAGCCCAGGGGCCATTGTGACACATCAGGGCTTTGTGGAACCACGAAGCCATTGTGACATTGCAAGGCCTCATGGAAGCACGGGGCCATTGTGACACTGCAGAAGCAAGGGGAACATTGTGACACTCCAGGGCCTGATGGAACCAAGGAGACCATTGTGACACTGTGGGGTCCCATGGAACCAAGGGAACATGGAACAGGTCTGGCTGGCTGGGCCTCCTGGGGACCACCTGACCACCTTGGCATGTTGAGGGCTGCTTCTCATCTGCCCCTGAAGCACTGGGGCTCTGGGCTTTCCTTCCTATGGGAGAGAACTGTCCTTCTCCTCCAGGGAACCAGGGCCAAAACTGGGATTTCTTCTCCAAATTTCCTTATGTAAAAGGATTGTTTCCAGATGAAATCTGCCAGGAGAGACAGGTCTGGCTGCCTTGACCACCCAAGGGTCACCTCTCATCTGCCTTTGAAACACTGGGACCGTGTGCTTTTCTTTCTTATGAGAAAAAAACCATCCATCTCCACCAGGCACCCATGGCCAAAACTGAGGATCTGCCTCCAGAATTCCCTATATCCAAGGATAGCTCCCAGACAGAAGCTGCCAGGACTGACAAGTCTGGCTGGCCTTGGCTTCCTGAGGGCTGGCATTCATGTGCCTCTGAAACACCGGGGCTCTGTTCTTTTCTTCCTAATGTAAATAATTCTTCCTATCCAGGAACCCACAGCCAAAATTGAGATTCCACCTCCAAAATGCCCTGTGTCCAAGGATAGCCCCTAGACGAAAGGTATCAGGAGAGACAGGTCTGGCTGGCTTGGCCTAAGGGTGCCCACCTCTCATCTTCTTCCAGAACACTTGGACTTGCACTTCTCTTTCCTATAGGAAAAAATCATTCATCCTGTCATGGCCAAAACTGGGATTCCACCTCCAAAACTCCCTACATCCGAGGATTAATGCTTTGAGAAATGTTTTTTGTTGATTTAATGACCTATTAAACCTTTTCCCAAAGTTTCTCTTATCTTCTATGTTGCCAGAAAGGATGTTTTATTGTTTTGAGCTCCTGAGAATCTCTTGTTGGTATTTCTCCAGTGCATCCAACTCAGAGGACAGAACCAATTGTAATTCCTTTTAAATGTCCCATTGAGAGAGTTTTTAGGGGATGGGGGTCAGGGCTTGTGTGTCCTGCTGGGCACAGCCCAGGCAGGGCTTTCACAGCCCCATCCCACACTCCATTTCCCAGCTGGAGCCGCTGGTGCCTCTGAGTTCTGCTGCCCCAGCCCCAGGGACGCTCTCCTTGTCTGCCCATTCCCCCAGGGTCTCTGGGCAGGGATGGCCTCAGTGGGGGCTGCTGACATCCTCAGCAACTTGGAGGCTGCTGCTGAATTTTACTGCTCCAAAGGCTTCTTCAGCCTTCAGCTCCTCAGTGCAGGAATTCAGTGCCCCAGGGCTCATTAACATTCAGAACACCTTAACAAGCCAAGCCCTGGGAATCATTTAAGTTTTCAAATCTCTTGTGGTTGATTACACTATATTTAAAAGGACAGTGAGAAAAGATTTCTTCAGGTCCTGTTTAGTTTTTTTTACTCCTAATAAATTGATGTGTGAAATCTCCAATTGACACTGAATCCAAGTGCCTCCTCATGCAGTTGGAATAGATATGAAAATCAAGACCCTTTATGGCTGACAATCCATCAGACTCTGTCCCTGCCCCCACCCCACCATTTCCCCCATCCAAGCCCTGGCACTCAGAGCAGCCTTGTGCAAATCTGAGCTCCCTCCAGCCCAGGCTGCACCTGCAGCTTTCAGCTCCTTGGCTCCAACTCCCACCTGCTTTCCTTGGAGAAGGAGCTGCCCCAGACACAGAGGGACACTTCCCTGGTGTTGTCCAGATGCTGGAGAGACGGGAGCTCCACAGTAACATCTTGATGGTGCTGGAGTGCCCAGAGTGGTCTCAGGACCTGCACCATTTTATTCGGGCAAGGGGGTTCCTGTCCGAGGAGGAGGCGCGGGGGCTGCTCCGCAGGTGCTGGAGGCCGTGCGGCGCTGCACCAGCTGCGGGGTCCTGCACAGGGACATCAAACCAGGGAACATCCTGCTCGACCTGGCCACTGGCCAGGCTAAATTGATTGACTTTGGCTGTGGCACCTACCTGCAGGACACAGCCCACGCTCACTTTGCAGGTGAGCCCACGCAGGGCTGTGCTCCCAGTCCCGGCATCTCAAGGCGCAACATCTCACAGGCCAAGCTGGGTGTGCCAGCAGGGATTCTCCCTTTTGCTGCCAGACACAAGACTGAGTCTTCAGTCGAGTTGCTTTTGAGCGGGTGTGGGTGGGGAGCTCCCAGCCCTGCTGGCAGCCTTTGCCCATCACTCTGGGCAGGACTGCGGCCGGGCGGGGGCAGCCAACCCGACAAAAACACCCGTGAGTGGGTGTTGGGAAGGGTAGATAAATATGACTAAGAACCACAATAGTACAGCAAGGATCAATATAATCCCCCCTACTGGCTGGACAATAACCCTCACCTACAGAGGGGTCCAAAGCTGTAGTAGATAAGGGACAGGCGAAGCGGAAGACCACGGGATGTGACGGAAAGATAGACCCCTCCCCCTCTCTCTTCCCCACGTTATCTATTAACCCCAGAAGCCCCAGGAGCATGTAGCCACACCTGCCCTGGTAAATTTCCACTCCTTACTAATCCCTGAGACCCCCCAACCCCCCTCTGACGTAGCAAAGACCCCTAAAATTATTTAAACCCACGAGATAGGATAATAAAGGCTTTTCGACCGTCTGCCATATTGGTGTCTGCGTGTGTTGATTAGCCCGAGTGGCTTGGGCGAGACCAGGCCGCCGTGCTGCCACCTGAACCAGGTCCCTGGTTGTCCTTTGTAAAGGCAACATACTGGTGCCGAAACCCGGGAGAAAAGAAGAAAAAAGAGAGAAAAAAAAAAAGGAAAAATTCCCCCGGCGGACGGGATACACCTGGACGGGAGCAGCGGCCGGAACGGTCAGACCGTATCTAGGCGTAGGGGAGACGTCCCTGGGATCCGCGAGCGTCATGGACGCAATTGCCAGGATCGTAAGTGCCATTCATTCGCAGTGGGGTATTGGGTGTAAGCTCAAGGATTTTCATCTTGCCATAGCGAGATTGCTTGAGCTAGGGGCAATTGAGCGCCCTGTGGATGTGTTACATCCGGAAATATGGGAAAAATGCACTGCCGCGCTAGCCGAGGACACAAAATCCTCAGGCAGTGGCAAAAACCTTAAAGCATGGGGCAAAGTAGAGAAAGCCCTACGCAAAGCGATAGAAGAGCAGGAGACATGGAGCGCGGCGCGTACGTGTTTATTAGTTACTCCCAAACTCGGTGTGGGAGCGGGAACGCAGACTGCCCCGAGAGCAATCCGCCCGGCGGCGGGGACCCGGGGGGGCTCAGCGCGACACCCGCTCCCCCAGATCAGAGCCCACCCCCCCCCCCCGCAGAAACCCCCCGAGACATCCCCGCCGTGGAAAATCCCCAAAAAACCCCCACCGCTCGAACCCCCCGAGAGACCGCAAATTCCTCCGTCCCGCCGCCGCCACCGGCCTGCGATCCGTTGTCGGAGACGCAAAGGCACGCGGAGCGCTTCTGGCAAGGGCTGACGAAAGAAGCCCGAGCCGCCGAAACCGCAGCTCGGGAGAACGGGGCCGCCATGCCGCCTCCTTATCCCTTTGAAAATGGCGCCGACAGCGGCAGAGAGGGGCGGGGCCCGGGTAGTCTCGGCGCGAAAGCCCGGGAAGTGCGCGATCTCGGGAATGCGCGTGCGCGGGAGAAAGAGGCAGAGAGCGGCACAGAGCGCGGAACCAACCAGCAGCCGCGCCTGAAGCTGCCACCATATAAGGGAGAAGCCACCTCCTGCGGGGGGCGCGGAGAGCCGGGGGGGCGGGAGCGGCGCCACCCCCACGGGGAGGAGCGAGCTCGGGGCCGGACAAAATGGCGCGGAGCCCCGGAAGTGCGCTGGCACTCGTCTTCCGGCTCGGAGACCAGCGACAGCTCCACCAGCTCAGAGGAGCTGACGGAGGCTGGCTATGGCTCCGAGACGGACGAAACGGAACCGGCACAGCTTGAAACAAAGCCGAGTAAAGCTCTAAGCCGTGCCGAAAAACAACTACAATATGAACCAGCCCAGTTTACTGACTGGGGGAAAATAAAGATAGCCTGTGCTGAATGGTCCCCAGTGGCTGCCATACAAGCCTTCCCGGTGAGGCTTGCCGGTCCGGAAGGGAACCAACAAAGGGTATATACCCCGATAAACCCAAAGGATATACAGGCAATTGTCAAAGCCATTGCAGAAAAAGGGATCAACTCGGCTATAGTCACTACATTGATCGATGGTCTTTTTAGCAACGATGACTTGCTTCCCTTTGATATCGAACGGATAGGGCGCATGATACTTGATGGTGCGGGAATGATTGTCTTCAGACAGGAATGGGAGGATAATTGTAGGAAGCAGTTAGCCCAAGCGTCTGGCGCGAGGCAGCCCCTACACAGATCGAGCTTATCCAGACTGATAGGAAAACATGATGATATGATCACGCCGCAACAACAAGCCGCACAGATGCAGGCTGAGGAGGTCAGGGCGACCACTCGGGCTGCCAGAGAGGCTATCCGCGCCGCCTCCCGAGTTGTGGCCAAGCCGGCACCGTGGTCCACCGTGAGGCAGGCAGAGAGCGAAAGCTTCACACAGTTCGTAGATCGCCTGCAGGCAGCGATAGACTCCTCCACCCTGCCGGCAGAGGCAAAGGGCCCCGTGGTAGCCGACTGCCTGCGCCAGCAGTGCAACTCTATTACCAAGGATATTTTACGCTCCCTGCCAGCCGGAGCTAGCCTAGCTGACATGATCAGACACGTAGTGAAGGAGGAACACCTGACGCCCATTCAGGCAGCTGTCCACACCCTGACCAATGCCATGGCGTGTTTCAAGTGCGGTGAGGCGGGTCACATCGCGGTGAGCTGCCCCCAGCCGGCACGGCGGCCTGCCGCAGCGCCTCCGCCCCAAACACGCCCGCGGGGATCCTGCTGGGGTTGCGGGAGGAAGGGGCATCTTGCTAGGGAATGCAGGTCCCGGCTCCAGGGAAACGGAAAAGGGAGGGGGCCTGCGGGCCGCACCCAGCCTCCTCCCGCTGCGAATATGAGGCGGCCCATCCATGCCAACCCCCAATGGAGCGGGGAGCCCTCATACCCCATTCTCCCACAGGAAGCAGCCAACTTCATACCCTTGCCAACGAGTCTCACGGCACAGCCCGCGGCGCATTTGTACCCACCGCCACCGCAAGCAGCGCCTGTGCCACAGGGTCAGCAGGGGGCGCCCCAGTGTTATGGTGAGCTCCTGGACACCCTTTTGTCCCCCCTTTCCCCGGGCCTCTGTGGCTCTGATCATGATAACCCCTGAATCCTCCTCCCTGCCCCAATGGGGTTTGCGGGGAGCCAGGAGTGCCCACCCTGTCCAAAACCTATATAGACCCCTGAAACTTCCTGCTCTTGCTCTTTTGCCCCGCTCTCCATGGACACCACAGAATAAAGAGAGCTGTTCCAACACCCTGGGGTAAGGAGCCTCTTCTGATTACCTTTCCCTCTCCATGCTATTTCCTCCCCCCACAGCCCCATATCTCTGAGCTAGTCGGATTCATTCGGGGGGCTGCATGGAGGGGGGAAAACCAATAGAAATAACAGTTGGCGCCCCAACGTGTGCTGCTCTGAGCCCACGAAGAAGCTGGACCCTTTATTTCGGTGGGAGTCAGAAGCTCTTGGGACAGTCAACTGCCCTGGTACTTTAGCTGCCTTTACAAGCTTTGAGTCACGGGGCACAGTCGGGGACCTCTGCCTGCGTACCCCGGGAGAGCCGACTGGAGAGGGAACCCCCAGAGAGGGTTTCACAGACGAATCCCGCAGTCACAGGCTTGGTAAATCCTCCGATCGCGGCACCCGGGACCGCGCCTGGCGGGGAGGGGTTACCATAAGTGACTGGGGGGGGCTGCTTGCGGGACGGTGAGCCAGGACCCTACTGCGAGTAAGCGGGAACCGGTGGGCTGCGCATACCCACGTTCCAGGGGGGAACAGACACGGGAGGAGCGGGCTAAAGCCGCCCCGGCAGCGGCGGCACGAGCGCCCCTCCCCCTGTGCCCCCCCGCTCGGGTTTTCCACGGCGGGAAATTCGAATCATTCGTGCTGTGTTATTAGCTCTGGTGGAGACTAGACCAGTGAAACAATTAAAAATCATGGGTACTAACATTTCACTGCAGCAGAAGAGTATACTAACACATCTTAGCAATAACTTAAACAATGTATCATTCCCTAAAAAGCTCCTCCTGCGTTTTGTGTGCTGGCTACAGACAGAAATACCAAATTTTACTGTGCAAGACCTGAATTCGCTTGCTCTTTGGACTCAAATTGGACAGATATTAACTTTAAAAGTCGAAAATGGTGAACATAAAGTTTCTCGATTTATTCCGATATTTTTACAAGCACGGAAAAATATTTTAGAAGCAGAAGAAAGTATGCAAACGCAGAAACACAGTTCTAACACCCCCTTTTCCCCTTCCTACCCACCTCCTCAATACCCCAGCCCTGAAAAC